ATCTCTCTCTCTCTCTCTTTTTCTTTTTGTTAATCCTCACTTGAGGATATTTTTCCATTGATTTTTAGAGAAACATTGATGTAGAGAGACACATCAATCAGCTGCCTCCTGCAGGGCCCCAACCGGGGCTGGAGATCGAACCTACAACCCAGGTACATGCCCTTGACTGGAATTGAACCAGTGACCCTTTGGTCCACAGGCTGACACTCTAATTGCTGGGCCAAACTGGCCAGGGCATTTTTTTTTTTAATCCTCACCCAAGGACATTTTTCCGTTTTTTATTCAGATAGAGTGGGAGGGAGACAGAGGGAGAGAGAGAGAGATCAACGTGAAAGGGACACATCGAGTGGTTGCCACCCCGCACGACCAACCAGGGCCGGGGACAAACTGCAACCGAGGTACATGCCCTTAGTGGGAACCAAACCCTGGTCTCTCTGGACCGCAGGCCGATGCTCTAACCGCTGAACCAAACTGGCCAGGGAAAATCAGTTTTCTTTATGCCATAAAATATTATTATATGTAAAGGGGAAAACTAATATTGTTAGACATCTGATCAATCGTTTTTTAGATGTCTGCTTATTGAAATGGTAAAAGTTCCATGGCAATGATTTGAATGAGTTTTTATTGCAACTTCAAGTAAAACATTAAACAGACAGAAAGTTCCTAAAGCAAGCATGACTTGGAATATCAAAGGCATCTATCTTATTAAAAATAAAAAAAAGATGCTCTGGCCAGTGTGGCTCAGTTGGTTGGGCGTCATCCCATGCACTGAAAGGTTGCCAGTTCGATTCCTGGTCAGGGCACATGCCCAGGTTGCAGGATCCATCCCTGGTGGGGGACATACAGGAGGCAGCCGATCAATGTTCCACTCTCACATCAATGTTTTTCTCGCTCTCCCTTCCTCTCTCTCTAAAAATCAATAAAAATATTTTTAAAAATAAGGCTTTCCCACGTTCTCCTATCATATTTGAACTCATTAAAAGAGCTCTTTCATGTACGACCCTTCTACATTAAAGTAATAAATTTTGGATTATGTTTTATTTTCTCTTTGTTTCATTATTTTTCAATGAACATAATTCAGGCGTTGACAGTGGACCAATAAGGAAATGTGAGAGAAGAATTACCATTGCCCAGCCAGTGTGGCTCAGTGGATTGAGCATTGTCCCATGGTTCAATTCCTGCTCAGGGCACATGCCCGGGTTTCAGGCTTGATCCCCAGTAGTGGGTGTGTGGGAGACAGCCAATAGATGTTTCTCTTTCACATCAATGTTTCTCTCTCTCTAAAAACTCAATAAAAACATATTAAAAAAAGAATTATCATTAACACTATCATAAATTTAAACTACATTTTCTTACTATTTATTATGTCTAGGTACTATGCTAGGGCTTACACATATTTCTAGTAGTTCTCATAACAACCCTGCAATGAGACAATAAGATATAGCCATGAAGAGTATGGGCTCTGGAACTACTAATGAGGACAGAGTTTCTTATTAGGGTGATAAAAATGTTTTGAAATTAATAGTGGTAATGGTTATATAACTCAGTGACTATAATAAAAACCAGTCATATACTTTCAAAGGGTGAATTTTATGATATATGAATTATATCTCAATACATGTTTTATATATATATATATATATTTTTTTTTTTATCCTCACCCGAGGACATTTTTCCATTTTTTGTTCAGGTAGAGTGGGAGGGAGAGAGAGGAACAGAGAGAGAGAGAGAGAAACATTGATGTGAAAGGGACACATCGAGTGGCTGCCACCCGCACAACCGACCAGGGCCGGGGACAAACTGCAACCGAGGTACATGCCCTTAGCGGGAACCGAACCCGGGTCTCTCAGGACCGCAGGCCGACGCTCTAACCGCTGAGCCAAACCGGCCAGGGCATATTTTTTAAGTATATGCTAACCAAGTTAGAATCCTTGAGAGGCACAGCCTTGAACAAGTCTTTTAACCTCTCTGTGCTTCAGTATCCAAAACTATCAATGGGTATATCAGCAGCACCTATTTGATGGGGATGTTCTGAGGGTTAAATAAGATAACGCATGTAAAGAACTTAGCACAGTGTCTGACACATCCCTGTTTTATAGATAAGAAAGCCAAGGATCAGAGAAATTGAGCAACTTGCTAAGGTCAAATGACCTTTAGCTAAATAGTACAGGTGGGCTTTGAACTAGGGTCTGTCAAGCCTCAATATTTATGTTCTTTCTATTATGCATATTTCTTCTCCAGAAAAGGGATAAGACTCTCCCCAATACTATTCAGTGGTTTACTCCTTCTGCACATTAAACCTGGGATTGAATGTAAAACCAGGGATTGATAAGAAAATCTTTGCTTGTAATCTTTTTCCATGTCTGGGCAAGCATCTTTCTTTAAAGGTCACTCTTTCAGCACATTGTAGCAAATCATCACTATAAATGGATGTTTAAATATGTGCTACTAAAGGGCTTTATAAATAAGGGATCTTTCATAAATAAGGGCCATTTTCCTTCTAGGCACCAGACTCTGATTTAGTCCAAATATCCTGAAGAACATAAATGTGTATTTAATGTGCAGAGTTAATAAAATCCATCCCATCATATTCCTACACAGAGCATCCTTCCATAGATAAAAATGCTAGAAAAGGCCCTGGCCGGTTTGGCTCAGCAGTTAGAGCGTCGGCTTGCGGTCCAGAGAGACCCTGGTTCGGTTCCTGCTAAGGGCACGTACCTCGATTGCAGTTTGTCCCCGGCCCTGGTTGGTCGTGCGGGGTGGCAACCACTCGATATGTCCCTTTCACATCGATGTTTCTCTCTCTCTCTCTCTCTCTCCCTCCCTCCCTCCCTCCCTCCCTCCCGCTCTACCACTCTACCACTCTACCACTCTATCTGAACAAAATATCGAAAAGTCCTCGGGTGAGGATAAAAAAAAAAAATGCTAGAAAAGTTTGGGACCATCATTTCTGTGCTTTCTCACTCCCTTTCCAATACTACTTAGTCTTCCAGAGCTTTTAAAATTCTCCTGCCAGCTTGTCTCTCTTCCATATTCCCATTCTTTTCATAATCCTAAATTGTCCTATAGAAACTTACATAGACCTGTTACTGCTCCCACCCACTCTACCAGTTTCTGAAGCACACAGTGAACTAAGACCTGATCAAAAGGGCAAAGTAAAATATGTTCTCCAACCCCCACCTCCAAATGAATGTCTTGGGGGAAGGGCAAGTCTAGGGGCAAAACGCAGGACTATGGGTTTTTCTACTTGATCTTTCCTTACACTCACTTCCAAATGAGTAAAGACTTCGTTACACATATTTAACTATTGTCAAGAAGCAAATAGTTTTCTGTTCTAAATAAACTCTTTTCAATTGTCTCCTTGGCTGCTCTACCTCTGCCCTCTCTCTAAGAGAGAAAGGCTGTGCAGAAGTTGTCCTGTGTTGGAAGATTGTTGCAGTGCCACTCTTACAAGAATCTGGTAAGATGTGCCCTTTGCCTTTTTAGCCCCAGATAGTCGCTTGTGTTAAGCTCCAAAATTATTTTTTCTTCTCAACATATAATTATACCACATCTCTGACACTAATTCTTTATTTCTTCTTTAGGTAATTAATTCTACTCTCGCAGTTCCATTCATTTCTGCCAGTTCACATTCATGTTTTGGCCCCTGTGGATTTTGGTTAACATCTGTTAAACCCTGAACTGTAGGGCCATTCCCCGAACAGCATATTTCACATTTTACAAAGCAAACTGCTACATTATTACATGTAATTTTCTATTCTCAATCTATGTTTCAGTCATGAATGCTTTAGGATAGTGAGATATACAGTAAAAATGCATCACATTATTTAAAATATCATAAATAGTATAACTTTAACTTACAAGAGTCAAGAAACTTTAAAAATACAATATTTTCATTTGTTAAAGTTGGCTTTTAAAAAAAACTTGAAATACACAAAAATAAAGTATAAGCTAGGAAAGTTAAAATTTTAATAAAACTAATATCACCATTCACAATTTAAATTTCTTTAAGATATTACTGTTCACTGAAACAGGATATAGTGACAGTATTAAGTGTAAATAGACTAAAAAGTATGGGGAAAGTTTACAATTGGTTAAAAAGTTATAGAGCAAAATAGTTCATAAAATAGTTGCAAATTTGATCCAATACTTTCTGTGATTATCTGAGAAGATAAAAATCTCTATTTCTAGTAAGATAAGATAATTAACGTTCACAATGATGTTTCTGACTTTCTCAACCACAGTACTGAAAAGAAGAAATGCACATACTTTAAAGATATCCCCTCAAACTGTTTGAATTCAGAAAACAAATATTCTCATTTGGAATCTCCTAAAAATGTGTTCCAATCCTGTCTCCCACCCCCTCTTTTTTTAATCTTGCACACAGCTGTCTGTTGTACTTTTTAGAATCATGCCAGATGCTGGGTTCATCAAGCAAAAGCAGGAAAACAATGGTTTGAAAGTAATTAGAAGCACCAAGGCTGCAGTGAGGCTCATATTAAAATGTGATAACACTGTTCTAGTGGGAATTTCAACACTGCTCCATTTCTGACATTTCTCTTCTGCCAGACAGGCAGGCTGTGTGCAAGAGCACTGTGATCGAGGAGGTAACATACTGGAATTTATTTCTGGAGCAAATGAAGGATTAGCTGAGTTGGAGCCCTCCCAAGGTTTTTATTATGGTCTTGGCCACCATTTTATTTGAATGCTATTGGATCCTGTTGGCCTCTAACAAAACTCAAGGAATAAAAGCATATTATAGTTTTAGTTTTATAAAATAATCTAGCACCAAGCCACTCAGAAAGATGAAGCATCAAAGCCTCTCGTTGCTAAAAAGCGGGCAGGGGGGCCCAGCAGGGTGAAGGTTAATTAAACACTCCACTAACTTTCCTCAGAAATGGCTAATGCCACTCTGTGGAGAAGCTTATTTAGACGAGACAGAAGTAAACAATAGCATCTCCACATCTTAGTGTAAAACCATGAATGGTCAGAGTACTCACTTTGAGGCTGAAAATCCCAACAGTACCTGAAAAACAAGAAAAAGAATGGAAATGAGTCAAACCTGTATTTCTCAATCTGCGTAGGCATATGGTAGCTATAGCACCCAGTCCAAAAAGCTTGCTACATAGTCAATAACTAGCCAAAGCCACTACTTACTTTGAGAACCAAAGGGTTGTCCCTGAGATTTAGGAGATTCTCAAAGGCTTGAAAGTGGCATTTAACTCACTGTAACACCTTAGGTAATGTTGACCATATTGCTGGAAATGTCTTAAAAGTTTTGCTAGCCATGGACTAGGGTTTCTCATCAGGAGCTCTACAGGCTCTGAGTAGGACAATTCTTTGTTTAGGACAATCTATCTTGTGTATTACAGGACAATCAGCATCACTGGTCCTGGGCATCAAATGCCAGTGGCACCACCAGTTGTTATAACAACCAACACATCCTCAAATATTTCTAGGCCTAAATTCTTAATTTTTGTTGTTGTTGTTGTTGTTGTTAATCCTCACCTGAGGATATTTTTCTATTGATTTTTAGATAGAGTGGAAAGGAGTGAGGGAGAGAGGGAGGGAAGAAGAGAGAGAGAGAAACATTAATGTGAGAGAGACACATCGATTGGTTACCTCCCATACGTCCCTGAAGGGGGCTGGGGATTGAACCTGCAACCCTTCCATCCTCAGGCCGATGCTCTAACTGCTGAGCCAAACTGGCCAGGGCTAAATTCTTAATTTTATAGGTGAAGCATGAACAACTGACTCAAGGTCATCAAAATATTTTAGTATCTGAGCCAAGTTTGGGGCTCTTGAAGTCTGCCATCTCCTTTTTTATTTGGGGAAGTGATTGGCAAAACTGATAACCCTTAAAGCCTTAAAACTAATGAAATGGCAGTGGTAGGAAGGATCACTTGTAAGTCACTTATTTGGAATCTAAATTGCATCCTCCCTCCGACCCCCACCCTAGAAACAATATTATATATGGTGGCTACCCACAAAAAGTCTATTGTACTTTGGATTCCATTTCCTCCTGTCTTCACAGGAACTTTACATTATTTCTATATTGATTTTATCTTGTATATATTCAACCTCTTCCTCTCAACTTGGCCCTTTCATCAGCATTTATGCTAATATAAAAATAAAGCAAACCCTCCTTCACCCTGTTCATATCCTTCCATCTTGCTGTCTGCTTTCCCTTCATATCACAATGAAATTTTTAAAAGTGTTGTCTGTAGTTTCTCTCTTTGCTCAACTCTCACTCACTCCTCAACATACTCTAATCTTGCTTATAATGACCACACATTAATTCTTGCTGTGGACATAGTGACCTCCATGCCACTAAACAGAATATTTTTCTATCCTCATCTTGACCTCCCAGGAGTGTATATGAGCTTATGAGCATTTCCCCCCTTTGCTAGAGAGTCATAGTTTTAATCAAATTCTTAAAAGAATCCATAACCTCCCCCCCAAAAAATTAACAAAAGGGCAACACATAGGTGATCTAGTACATACATGACTGAAATCATGTATGGTTACTTTAGGAAGAAACATCAGCTCAGTGAGCACCTAGGTGATGTCTTAATAAGGTAAAAATTCAGAAAATGGAGAGGAGGGAGATCAGTGGTGAGGATGTTGCCATAATCCAGTGATGAATCTGTGGGAAATTATCAGAGATGAGGAAGAGAAGGTGGAAAGGAAACCCCGTGATTGGCCTTCCTTCCCCAGAACAGTTCTGGACTGGCAATCAGGTGAAGGGAAATGTAAGACACTTGGGTTAGATGGCAGGGGAAGTTGAGGACAGCTTTGACATCTGCAGTGAAAAAGGGAAGAGAGAATAAGAGGAGGAAGGGGTGGAAAATGTAAAGTGGCAACATCTGGGAAGATGCCCATGTGGATGTAGGGACATGCAAATGGGAACTGGCTGTAGCTTAAATAAGTTGTATATATTAGTATGATGGCATGATGAGCCATTCTCCACCCAGCAGACAATGCAGCTCCACACTGTACCTGGCCACTGTGAAGAGTTTTCCATAAAACTCCTCTCTGTAAAACACAGCTAAACAAGTTAATCATCAAAGGGCTGAGCAATTTGTCATCTTCTCTTACTATTTTTCATCTTCTTTTGAGGCACTGCCCTAGCCTCTGATTCCAATCATTACCCAACTTTTAATTCAATATAAATAAAAATTAGGGTGTCAGCATAGGCAAGTGTATGTGGGGGTGTGCACTCCTCTCCCCAAAATGTTAATGATGGCAACAGCAGGAACTTTGCTAACCAATGTTGTTTTCATGTATTAACCAGAAAAAAAGAAAAAACAAAACAAAACCTAGCCATGCAGCAGCAATTAAAACACCAACTCTTGGCAAATTGTTAAGTAGGTAAAATATATTATTGATGATTTCAGCCTCTTCTTTTGTCCTATCTTTCCCATAAGCCCCACTTCAACTCACAGTCATATTTTCAGTTCCCTCCTCCACCTACTTACTGTATTGTGCCCCTGGCCTTCTGGTTTCTCTTGTTAGTTAAGAATATGTTATAAGTTCACATATACTAAGAGCATTACTTCTGCCAATAGTAGATGTGTCTTAAGAAGGTTGATTATGTAGAAAGATTAGATTTAACAGTATCAAATAAAGTAGTAGGTCTGTCTTGATGTTACAAAGTAGAATCTGCTTTATTCTTGATGATACTGTAAATATTTCTGTCAATAAAAATCATATGTAGAACTGACATGAGATGAGATGAAGTGGAATGTTAATACCTTCTTTTTCAGAAGGTATAAAACTATCTTGCTACCCTACCTTTTTCCCTCTCTCTTCTTACTCTAAGTATTAATTAGTAACAACCCTAAAGAGAGTCTGTTAACACACACACACACACACACACACACACACACACACACACACGCGCGCGCGCACCCTTTATCCCATAGCTTACAGAGGATACTTCTAAAAGGGAAGGGCAAAAGGTGAGCAACCTCATCCCTCACTGGAGGGCACCATGGATTATTCCCTGTTGGACACACTTAAGGTCTTGATCTTGTCTTGTTAAACATATCCTATGGGTGGCCTTCATCACATTCTCTGGAAAGATGATTCCACACTAGAAAATTCTACACTCTTTAGGAGGCATTTGGTCAAATTCTGCCAACATCATCTAATTCTTATCCTTCACTTTGAAAGCAATTATCCCTTAGCCAGAGACTCCAACAAGTCTGAAACTAGAAATTTTGAACCAAAATGCAAAGACCACAATAGAATAGCATATGAAAGAAGAAGCATACACACACACACACACACACTCACAGAGTTGTGTTTATCCTAAAAGTCTCTGAGAATTTCATATCAGGCCTGTGCAGATAGATAACAAACACTTCTTTAATCTTCTCTTTGAAGCTTCAGCTTCAATATGAAAGGGAAGCTATCACTCCTCTGCAATATTCATACTCAACATCATCAAGTCCATGCAAATGAGGTTTGAAACTGGAAAAAGATGAGTACAGAAAGAGCAGAAAGAAAATGCTGAAATCATATTGATGATTATTATTTTCACATTAAATCAAAATAAATACATCTTTTCTTGTGCTTTCAAAAACGAAAATGGAAGAATAAAAATTCACAATAATAAGTCTACTCTACAGGATAGACTTGAAAATTTAGGGTTACATTACATGCAAGGCAAAGTTTGCAAAATGTGTTTTAAAATTAAAGAGGTTTCGATTGAACTTTATTTAATTAATTTATTTTTATTATTAAAGTATGGTTGACATACAATATTATATTAGTCTCAGGTGTACAACGTAGTGACTTGCTATTTATATATGTATCTTATGAAGTGATTACCATAAGTAGCATAACCATTTGTCACCTTACAACATTATTACAATATTATTGACTATACTCCTTATGCTGTATATTATATCCCTGTGACTTATTTATTTTACAACTGGAAGTTTGTATTTTTCAATCCCCTTCATATTTTCACCGTTCCCCCAATTCCCTTTCATTGGACTTTAGTTTAAGGAAAGGTACAAGTAAATTGAACCTACTGTGTTGAGGGAATCTTGATGAGCAGCTATAGTAATAACAGTAATGATAATATTAACAATGTTAAGATACTTTGAACATATTGTTGGACATTGTTCTAAGCAGTTCTCTTATATGAACTCACTTCCCCCACAACTCTAACCCTATTATTATACTCATTTTACATGAGGAAAAGACTAGTTCCAGAACAAGCACCCTAATATGCCCTGGCTGGTTTGTCTCAGCGGTTGGAGCGTTGGACTGTGGACCAGGGAGTCCCGGGTTCGGTTCCCACTAGGGGCACATACCAAAAAAAAAAAAAAACAAAACCAAAAACAAAAACAAAAACAGAACAAGCACCCTAATAATAAATTAAGGAGGTAAGACAACAACTGTTACTATCCATATATTACTGGAAATATCTAGGAAGAAAAAATAATTTCATGTCCTAACTATAATAAAACAACACATCCAGTACTTAATATAGGCATTGAGCTATGTATACATTTTACATGTATTTTATTTAATTTTCATCACAACCCTATAAGGTCAGTACTACTATTATCCCCATTTTATAGATCAGAAAACTGACACTCAAAAAAGTCAAACAACTTGATCAAAATCATATAGCTATTAAGTGGCAGAACCAAGATTTGTACTCAGGTCTGCTTGCTTCCAGAGCACAAGTTCTTTTTTTTTATTTTTTATCCTCACCCGAGGATATTTTCCATTTTTTGTTCAGATAGAGTGGAAGGGAGAGAGACAGGAAGAGATAAACATCAACGTGAAAGGGACACATCGAGTGGTTGCCACCCGCACGACCCATCCAGGGCCGGAGACAAACCACAACAGAGGTACACACCCTTAGCAGGAACCAAACCCGGGTCTCTCTGGACCGCAGGCCGAAGCGCCAACCGCTGAGCCAAACCGGCCAGGGTCAGAGCACAAGTTCTTAAATTGCACATTTAATGTTTTTCAATTGGCTATAATATAGAAAAAAACTTAGTG